GACTAAAGGGAATCAGACACCAATGAAAACAGGTGACCCAGGTGCTCCAGCCTCTGTTGCAGTTTTCTCAGAGCTCTGCATACAAAACAGCTTCAAGGCTGCTGGCTGAGATGGTCCAGCCTCAAAGCCTGTTCTAGCTGGGACTAGAACTGGCCTCGAACTCCCAGAGATCCGCCTGCCTCTTCCTCCCAAGTGCTGGGATTAAAGGCGTGCGCCACCACCGCTGCCCGGCTCTCAAGTAATATTTTATCTTTCTCAGGGCTCTAATGGAGTTGAAGACAAGACAGTTATAGTTACAGCCATTTCTTCCAAATTCAGGAAAAAACCTACAAAAGAGATGTAAAATCTGTAAGGTTGAGAAATATATTGTTTAAGAAAATGTTTTAAGGTCTAAAAAGATATTTTTAGGTTGGTAATATAAACCATGATAGAAAACAGTTTTGCTAGTATATAACTTTGGACTCACTAAGATAGGATAGATACTACAATAGTGTCTTCAAATTTTCTAAATACATGTGGACTGGACATTGTGAATGTAATCTTATTGTTAGAGTTAAAACATTTTCTTTTTATTTAGACAAAAGGGGGAATGCTGTGGAATATCCTTTACACTATGTGAAGATGTGTCACTATGATTGCTTTAATAAAAAGCTAAATGGCCAATAGCCAGGCAGGAGGTAGGCGGGACTTCGGACAGAGAGAGCTCTGGGAAGAAGAAAGGCAGGGACACTAGCCAGAAGTAGAAGAAGCAGCATGGGCAAAATAGAGATGAGGTTACAGGCATTTGGAAGAATGTAGATTTAAAAATTAAGTTTATTTAAGTTATAAAAACTAGTTGAAAATAAGTCTAAGCTAAGGCTGAGTTTTCATAGTAAGTCTCCTGTCACTTTTGATGAGCTAGTGGCTCCCAAAAAACTCTGACTGTGCAGAAGGCAGGAAGATCACCCACAAATTCTAAGTAGTGAGTTTTAGGCTAGCTAGAATCTCTGTCTCTGTCTCTCTCTTTCTGTCTATCTCTCTCTCTCTCTCACACACACACAGAATATGAAAATGATTTTCTTCTGGGTGGTGGTGGTACATACCTTTAATCCCAGCACTCAGGAGGCAGAGGCAGGCAGATCTCTACAAGCTTAAGACCAGCCAGTTCTACAAATTGAGTTTCAGGACAGTCAGGGCTAGACAGAAACCCTGTCTGAAAAAAATAACCACAAAAAAAGTAAAAGTAAAAGACTGTTAGAAAAAAGCAAAACCCAAAAATATTCCCTGAAAGTTTGACTCACTGTCTGCTGTGCATTTTCTAGGGCGTTTACACTTTCTACTTCATCTAACCCTTATTAGCCCACTTTACAGAGGGACACAGAACTTAGTCCGGTGATGGGTCCAGGACAGATTCCAGACAAGCACAGAACCAACTTCCCTGCTGCACTGCCACAGAGCTGTGCCCCACCTCCCGAACAGGAGTGTGAGCAGCCGTGGCTTCACTTTCAGTAGGTCCTTCATTCTTCATGAGAAGTCAGCCCAGGCTGGAGAGATGACTCCGAAGTTAAGAGCACTGGCCTCTCTTTCAGAGGTCCTGAGTTCAATTCCCAGCACCTACATGACAGTGTACAACTGCCTGTAACTCTACCTCTAGGTGACCCAAAACCTCCACACAGCCATACATCAGGCAAAATACCAATGAATGTAAAATAAAAATAATCATTAAAAAAATAAGAAGTCAAAAATAAAAATAAAAAAAGAAGTTAGGCCCCCTTTCTTCTGTTCACTTCAAGGGCTGAGGAGGCCAGGCCTAAACAAGCGATGCATTTAATGGGAAGATTTAAACCAAGATTTTCTGTTGGGCAGTGGTGGTGCACACCTTTACTCCCAGCACTTGGAAGGCAGAGGCCAGCGAATTTCTGTGAATTTGAAGCCAGCCTGATCTACAGAGCAAGTTTCAGGACAGGTTCCAAAGCTACAGAGAAAACCTGTCTCAAAAAATAGAAACAGAAAGAAAAGCTAAACAAAATAAAACAAAAAAGCACTACCACAGGACTATGGAATGTGGAGCCACACACCTGTAATCCCAGTGCTCTGGAGGCTACGATGAAAGCTTTTCCTTAGTTTAAGTTTAGCCTGGGCTACAAAATGACACCCCAGCAACCTTCTGAAGGAGCCAAATCTGCTGGCATCTTTGGACTTCTCTGCCCCCAAAGTTATGGGAAATAAACATTGCTTAAGCCGTTCAGGCTACAGTATTGTGTTGGTGTCAGGTAACCAGGGCACTTTCTGAGTGAGGGGTCAGAGTGTGTGGCCCCACCGGCCTGGGAGCCCATTCACCTCTCAAGGAAGCTTTCCAGGACCATTTAAGGTTAAATATTACCTCGTACCCCTCCCTGCCTGCCACACCCTCTCCCTTTTCCTGGAGATCAAGCCATAAACACCTCCTTTCCTCTTCCTCTGGGAGCACTATCTCCCAGGAGGACATACTCTTGCAGACTCTACCCTCTACTAGAAGTCGCTGGTCTAGAAGGTCAAGGGAATCTGACTCTAGTTAGAGCTAGAGGCTGAAGTAGGGACACTAGGCCCTAGCCTCCCCCAGAGGTGTTTTTTTGGGGGAGGGGGTGGGGGGGTGCGGTGACATCATGCCTGAGCCTCCTGATTGTTCCCTAGTGGAGTTCACAGACTGGCTTAATAAGTCCCTTAGGTGCATGCCTCAAGCTAGCAGCCCTAGTCTTCTGATATCTGGGAAACAAAACTAATTTCAGGAAATGGGCAGCCTCATTGTATCGGGTACCGCATTTCACCTTCTGCACATAAGGCTCTCAGAAGCAAGGTGATGGGGTCCAGCTGTCATATCTAATCTCACCTACCCAGATAGTTTTAATTATGTACGTACATCAACGATCTTAGACTCCAGGTTCATTACAAATCTCACATGAGGGATTGCACCTAGCCTGGCAGTACTTTCTGATAGGGGAAGGACTTTCTCCTCATCCTGTTCTTTCTCTCAGATAGCTCTGTAAACTCAGACGGATTTTTGTTGTGGTTGTTGTTGTTTTGTCTTTTTTTTTTTTTTTTTTTTTCAAGACAGGATTTCTCTGTGTAGCTTTTGGAGCCTGTCCTGGAATTTATTCTGTAGACCAGGCTGGCCTTGAACTCACAGAAATCTGTTGGCAGAGGCTGCTTGTTCGTTCCCAGCCACCCAGACCAGAAATAATCACACAGAAACTGTATTATTACAACACTGCTTGGCCTATTAGCTCATGCTTCTTATTGGGTAGCTCCTATATCCTAAATTAAACTCATTTCTATTAATCTGTGTATCGCTATATGGTTATGGCGTACAGGTAAGATTTCGTGTGGCGTCTGTCTCCTGTGCCAGCTATATGGCTTCTCCCTGACTCCACCTACTCTCTCTCTATATCTTTTCCAGACAGGTTATATTTTGTTAAGCCATTGGCCAAAAGCAGCTTCTTTATTAACCAAAGGCCATAAAATATATTCACATCATACATCACCTCCCTTTTCTGTCTAAATAAAAAGGAGGGTTTTTAACTTTAACATAGTAAAATTACATATAACAGGCTGGAGAGATGGCTCAGCAGCTAAGAGCACTGACTGTTCTTCCAGAGGTCCTGCGTTCATTTCCCAGCACCCACATAGCAGCTCACAACTGTCCGTAACTCCTGTTCCACACCAATAAACATAAAATAATAATAATAAATTAAATTTTAAAGTAATTTATAAAAAAATTACATATAACAAAACAGGTATCAAGCAAAAATTATAGTTATAATATTTATGTCTATTTTATCTTTTAGCATAACTAAGGAAAATTATAATTATAACTATATTCTTCAACTCCATCAAAGACTCTAGAAGGATATAATATTACCTAAGTAAACAGGAAGTGTATTGTAAGCAACTTCCAAAACTCTAGAATTGACAGAGGCATATCGCTGCAACAAACAAGCAGCTTCTGCCTACAGAGATCCATCCACCTGCCTCTGCCTCCCAAATGCTGGGATTAAAGGCATGTGCCACCACCGCCTGGTTTAAGACTTATTTTATCATTTCCAGAAAAGGGATGAGCATACTAAATCTCTGGGCCTTAAACCTGGTGAGCAGAGCACCAGGACTCAGTTAAGTCTTCCAACTATGAAGCCCAGACTGGCTTCAGGAACAGTTCTAGAGATGACAAAGGATTGTTGTGCTCCATAGCCCTGGTCATTACAGACATCACTAATCAATCATGGCATGGCAGATATTGCTGATCAATTTCAGTGCTCTTTTATTTTTATCGATTTACTTATTTATTAAGAAACACTGCCTCGGGCTGGAGAGATGGCTCAGTGGTTAAGAGCATTGCCTGCTCTTCCAAAGGTCCTGAGTTCAATTCCCGGCAACCACATGGTGGCTCACAACCATCTGTAATGAGATCTGGCACCTTCTTCTGGCCTGCAGACATACACACAGACAGAATACTGTATACATAATAAATAAATAAATATTAAAAAAAAAAGAAACACTGCCTCTTATACCTCAGGTTAATCTCCGACTCTCTGTGTAGCTATAAATGGGCTTGACTTTCTGATCTTCTTGCCTCCATTTCCCCACTGCTGGGATTATCGGCATCTGCCACCGTGCCCAGATTTAGCACCTTTAAAAAAAAAAAATCTGGACCTAAGAATTCTTTTAAAATTTTTATTTTGGGGGCTAGAGATGTCTCAGTGGTTAAGAGCACTGACTATTTTTCCAGGGGAGCCAGGCCCAATTCCCAACACCCTCTTGGCAGCTCACAACTGCCAAAGGGAACTAATGCCCTCTTTGGACTTCTGAGCACACTGGCACATATGTAGTACACAGACATATTCACAGGCATAAAGTTAAAATTAAAAATTCTTCTTCATCATCATTCCTTTTTTCTTATTGAGATAGAATTTCTCTTGTGTGTAGCCCTGGCTGTCTTGGAACTCACTCTGTAGACTAGGCTGGCCTCAAACTCAGATCTGTCTGCCTCTGCCTCCGGAGTGCTGGGATTAAAGGCATAGGACACAACTGCCTGGCCATCATCATTGAGACAGGGTCTCAGTTGTTTAGTACTGGCTACCCTGTAACTTGATAGCCTTCAACTCACGGACACCCTCCTGGCTCTGCTTCTGAGCACTGGAATTTAAAGGTGTATGCCACTGTGCCAGTCCTGGCTGTTCGTTTTTGCAGTCATGGCTGCCACATTGGTCTCCGAGAGTTTGCAGAGGTGGCACTGCCTAAGCTCCTTTGTCGGACCTGGGGACTTTTTACTGTGTAACCCGGGTTGGCCTCACAGTCAGGCCCTGCTTCTGTAGTGCAAGCACCCTGCTGACCACACCCTGCCCCAAGCCTGGGAATGTGCTCCATCCTACCACATCCTTTATAAATGAAGAAACTAAAGTTCAGAGAAGATGAGTCACCTTCTCAAAGCTGCACAGCTCCTGTGTGAACTATGAACCTGGGCTCCTTCATGCACACACACACACCCCATCCCCCACCCTCCTGTTTCTCCTGGTAGCCTGCCAGCCCTTTCCAGGATACTTTCCTGGTGTTCCTCCTGTCTACCCTCCACCATCCTTCTTCCAGAGAAGAGGCCAACCGGAAGGCAGTTCATGTTAGGAAGTTCCAGCCACGTGAGCAAGCAGGAGCCAAGGATTCTGAGCAGCCGGTGGCTTTAGGAGAAACTGAAACTGGGTGTGCTGGGGGCGGAGTGGTCACTGGGGATTTAAAGAGCCACCACTTCCTTGGGCCTCCAGAGGGCATTGGGAGGGCAAAGCTGCTGAGGGGACACGCACAACCGACTGAACATCTGCTCCCCCTGCCTAAGCCATGCAACTCTGTGGGAGTGGTGCGCTGCTGCCTGGGACAGTGAGTACAGGGGACTAGGAAAGAAACACCTGGAGAGACACAGCCAAGGTTCCCAGGGACAGATGAGGGAGGACGCAGTGAGGAGCTCTGGTCCCCTCTCCACATGTCTGTGTGACGTGAGGCTGGGCTCTACACTCCCATCTCCGGGTTCAGTTCCTCCTGGGGTCGGAACGGAGCCTTCCCAGCTCTCTGGACTTTGCAGACCTGCTTAACTCTGTTCCCATTTGTTCTCGCCTTGCTGCTCTGTTTTCCAGACCTTTTTTTTTCTCTCTTCTCAATCCCTCAAATCGCAGCATCTTTCTTTTCTCACTGACTCTTTCCCCAGCCTCTCTAGTCTATTCTTCTGGTCCTCTGGGTTCTGCAGTTTGTCCTGAAGAAGATATAGCCACTGGGTAGCCACAAACCAAGGAACATGTGGAGTCCTAGGCCAGGGTAGCTGGGGTCTTGCCTGGGGTAGAGCAGGGTACAGCTCAGGGCATTTGGCCTCAAGTTCCACTTAAGTTTCATGATCTTCAGGATCAGGCTCAGAGCTGTCGTTAGAGTCCTCTTTTCTGCCAGACAGACTGACTCTCCATTCATTCGTTCTAGGCAACCACCCCATTTCAGTGGGAGCATGGAATTCTGTGACCCTTTCTAAGCTAGGTCCTACCTTCTTCATTGTTTGTTTGAGGAAAGACCTCATGAATGCCTTCCTGGCCTTACTCTGCAGCCAGCCTGGACTTGACCTAATCCTCCTGTTGGGATATTATTATTATTATTATTATTATTATTATTATTATTATTATTGGCAGGCACCACCACCTCTGGCCATTTTGCCTGGTTTTGTTTTTCTTTGTTTGTTTGTTGGTTGGTTGGTTTTCTCTTCCCACTTATGTGCCCTCCTAGCTTAGGGCCTGGTACACAGTAGTTGCTTAATAAATGTTTGTTGAAAGGATGGGGAGATGGCTTAGTTGATGAAGTACTTGCCTTGTAAGCATGAAGATCTGAGTTTGATCCCTAGCATCCACTAAAAGAGTCTGGTGTCAAGCACTGGGGAAGGTGACACCAGCCGATCTCTATGCAATGACAGGTAGCCTAGCCTTGGTGGTGAACCCCAGGCCAGTGAGAGACTCCACCCTCAAAAAATAAGTGGAGGTTGGAGAGATGGCTCATCGGTCAAGGAGCATTTACTACTGCTCTTAGAGAGATCTGAGTTTGGTTCCTAGAATCTACAAAGGGCACCTCACAACCAAACCACCAGTAACTCCAGCTCCAGGGGATTTAACGCCCTCTTCTGGCCTCCACGGGTACCTACACTCTCACACATACCTGTCACCACACACTTACACATGTGATTTTAAAAGTTAAAGTAGATGACGTCTGAGCACGAATGATACTTAAGGTTGTGTTTCTGGTCTCTCTATACACGTTTGTCTGCATACACACACACACCACACACACACACACGCATTAAAAATAAATCTTCTTTGAGTAAGTGAATTCCAGCACTTTGGGACTGAGGTGGGCACAGGCACTTGAAACTTTATCAGGTCCTGACCCTGTCTTTGTGGAGCTCTGGCCTTGGCTTATAGAAATGGCAGCTCACTGGTTTGTCTACTCCTAGCTTCTCTCCTCTACTCTCTGTGGACAGCTGGGGAAGCACCATGTGCCTCTGTTGTACTGCTGGGATTATTGTACTCAGAAAAGTCAATGCTGGCTTTTGAGAACGTGTGTTTGAGGTTGCTCTGTTCTGAGTTCGAATCCCAGCCTCCCTATTTATGTAAGTGGTGAGCTGGACATCGGATAGCGTTGGCTTTACAATAAGGAGTGCAGTGTCTTTGGGGGGTCATAGGGGGATTGTAGGGGGGTTGTTTCCATGGGAGGAAACAGATTTTGAGAGAACAAGGATTCTCAAGGACTAGACCTGAGAAAGATAGCTCTCCAAACAGCTGATCAGGGTAGAGGGGACAAGCCGCAGCCAGGACCCCGCAACCCTCTGCCTCATGCTTTATAGGACCCCGAGGAGTGTCAGAAGCAGCTGAAGAAGAAGCAGAAGAACCGGCTGGCTGCCCAGCGCAGCCGGCAGAAGCACACTGACAAGGCAGATGCTCTGCACCAGGTAGGGATGCCCTCTTCTGCTTCAAAAGACTGAGTATCTTACAGAGAAAAGAGCTCTCTTTCTTTTAAAAGTGTATCTTATTTGTTTGTTTGTTGTTTTGTTTTGTTTTAAGACAGGGTTTCTCTGTGTAGCCCTGGCTGTCCTGGAACTCACTCTGTAGACCAGGCTGACCTCGAACTCACAGAGATCCACCTACCTCTGCTGTCCAAGTGTTGGGATTAAAGGAGTGCACCACCACTGCCTAGTTAAGAGTTAGTTTTATTTTATATGTGTGGGTATGGGTATTTTGCCTGCATATATGTCTGTGCACCACATGTGTGCCATGTTCTAGAGGACAGAAGAGGGCAGCAGATCCCCTAGGATTAGATTTACAGATGGTTGTGAGCCCCTATAAAGGTGCTGGGAATGGAGCCTGGTCCTCTGGAAGAGCAGTCAGTGCTCTTAACCAATGAGCCATAGCTCTAGACCCAGAAGAGTTTCATTTAGCTCTTGGTTCTGAGGGCTGCAAAGTCCAGAACATGATCCAGTATCTGCCCAGCACCTAGGAGGGACCTCTTGGGGAGTTATGGGAAAGTAAGGATATGACCTGGTAAGGAAGGAGTACATCAGAAACATCACCCAGTAGCCCGCGAGCGGACCAGGCCCTCCTTCACAACGGCCTTCATGCCACACTTTGTCCACACTGTTGCTTTGAGTCATTAGCCTGGAAGCAGATCAGTTATCTCTCACGGGAGCCTTCCCTGCCTCCTCCACATTGCTTCTCCACTGAGTCCAGGTGCCAGGCAGACAGGGAACTGTCCCATTGCATTCTGTTTGCAATCACCTATGACAGGGCCGGGCAGAAAAAAGGAGGCTCCACAGTTTACTGTAGAGCAAATGACAGCATCGGGATAAAGAGCTGGAAGCACGTAGTGGGAGGACGGAGCACCACAGAGTGGCTTAACCCACACGCAGTCAGCATTCCTCCAGAGAGCTGGATGCTGCGCCACACCGCTACAGATCAAGGATGCGGTGCTGGGCAGCTGCTCTCTATCCCTGAGCTACATCTCCAGCCCCCACTTTTGTTTATTTATTAGATTCTGATTGGTTGTTCTGTGAGTTTGGAGTGCATATGGACCACAGCTTGCATGTGAGGCCGGAGGACAACTTTGTGAAGTCAGTTTTCTCCTTCCTTTAGGCTGTGGGACTAAGCGCCTGTGCCTGCGGCACCATCTCACTGGATTGGCTCACTTTTCATTTCATTTCATTTATTCATTTAGAGACAAGGTTTCTCTGTGTAGCCCTGACTGTCCTGGAATTCACTATGTGGACCAGGCTGGCCTACCTCTGCTTGTCAAGTGCTAGTATTAAAGACATGCACTACCACACTTAGTTTTAATTAATTAATTAATTAATTTTATTTATTTATTTTTGTTTTTTTGAGACAGGGTTTCTTTGTGGCTTTGGAGCCTGTCCTGGAACTAGCTCTTGTAGACCAGGCTAGCCTCGAACTCAGAGATCCGCCTGCCTCTGCCTCCCGAGTACTGGGATTAAAAGCATGCACCGCCACCACCACCCAGCTTTAATTTATTTTTTATTATGTATATATGTGTCTATGTGCTTATAGGTGCAGTGCCCACAGGAGACAGAGAAGCCAGATACCCTGGAACTGGGGTTGCAGGTGGTAGAAGCCACCTGGCATGAGTGCTGGCAACTGAACTTGGATACTCTAGAAGACCAGTTCACTCTCTTAACCACTGATCTGCCTCTGCCTCTCTGGTGCTAGAATTACAGGCATGGGCCTCCATGCCCAGTTTATGTGGCGTGAGGGAGTGATCTCAGGACATCATTTATGCTAGATGAGCTCTCTACTGACTGGTATATGTCTCTAGGTAGAAGTAGCCATTCTGGGGCTGTAGGGAGAGCTCAGCAGGTAAGAACACTCCGAGGACATGACGTCAATCTCTAAGACCCACACAGTGGGGGAAGAGAGATGCCTCCTGAAAGTTGTCTTCTGACCCTATACTTGCACTGTGGTGTGCATCTGCCCAAGTATACACACACACACACACACACTAAACAAACACATAAATAAAATACACTTTAAATTTCTGTAAAGGGAAAAAGAAATCTCCTTCCCACCCTGTAGAAATCATTGTGCAGATGGGGCTGCTGGTGGCTCTGTGGCCTCTCAGAACCAGTTCATGGCCTATGCCACATTCTGCTCTGCCCTTGAAAATGCACCTTTTACAGTGTCCCTCGAGGGGGACTTACAAGATATGGAAATAAAAGTCTCTCTGTGTCTTCACCGTTACTGTCACTTTAAATGCTGTTCAGAAGTGCAAATGTGGAGAGGAGGGAGGCAAGATGCTTTGGTGCTTAAAAAAATCTGGTCCCGTGAGTTTGAGCAGAGGGAAGAGAGCACTTACTCTGATCTCCACACATGGGTCATGGCACATGCCACGCCCCCAAAATGATAAAAAAAAATAGAAGCACAATCCTTGCATGATACACATGCGCAGATGGGTCTCCAATCCAAGAGAAGAACGGCAGAGTTGGGCATGGTGGCGTGTGCCTATAATTCTAAGATTTGGAAGCTAGAGTCTGGAGGATCAGGAGTTCAAGGCCAGCATTGGCATTGTGTACACACAGGGTTTGAGGCCAGGCTGGGCTACATGCAACTCTCTTGAGAACAGAACAAAGTTGCATGTTGATGATTTGCCCTGTGGGTTTTCAGAACCTATCGCTCAGCCAAACAGGGCTTAGAAAATGCTGACTCGGGGTACCTGCCAACCTATGCAGCGGTGTTCTGAGTCCTTTATAGCCTTTTGTTGGTACCTTACAGGGGCCTGGGGGCTGAGCCCTGGCCTGTAGAGGACTGTCTGTATCCAGGAAAGAATTGCACTGAAATTGCCCTGTAAAGGCCATATCGAAAGTGCCGTGGGAGCAGGGGTCAAAGTGTTCAGGCAGAGCAGACAGTAGCTGTGTGAAAAACACAGATTCCAGAAGGATGGGAATTAAGAGAGAAACCTTGAGCCCGCAGCAGTGCACTCAGATTCTGGAGTCTTGGGAATCTTTAATGACTTCAATCTATAATTAATGGCATAGGAGAGCGTGGTGGTACATGCCTGTAATTCCAGAATGTGGGGGGTTGAGGCAAAGAGGGCTGCAGCGAGTTCAAGGCTAGCCTGAGCTGTAGAGAAAGACTTTGTCTCAAAAGCCCTGAGGAGGGGCTGGAGAGATGACTCAGCGGTTAAGAGCATTGCCTGCTCTTCCAAAGGTCCTGAGTTCAATTCCCAGCAACCACATGGTGGCTCACAACCATCTGTAATGGTGCCCTCTTCTGGCCTTCAGGCATACACACAGGAAGAATATTGCACACATAAATAAATATTAAAAAAAAGAAAAAAAAAACAAAAGCCCTGAGGATATGACTTAGGTGAGAGCATTTGCTGCGTGAGCATGAGGACCTGAGTTCAAATCTCTACTGCCGTCTTAGAATGCTGTGCCCATAACTGCAGCACTAGAGGCAAACACGGGCACATCCCAGGAGCCTGCTGACCAAAATGTCCAGCTCCAGGTTTGATGAGAATCCAGATTTAAGGGAATATAGCGCAGAGAACAATAGAAGATCCGCAATGTCTTCCTGTCACCTCATTTGCTCACAGTGCCCCCTCCCCAACCTACAGTTTAAACCCATCAGACAAGACACAGTCCCTGAATGGGCCAATGAAGTGACAGGAGGTAGGGAGTGGGGCAGTTAGTGAGAGGCCAGGTAGAGATCCTGGGTGAAAAGGGGTGCTTCTCAGAGGACCCATAATGGGCAGAGAGCAAGGTCCCAGCTCCGGAGATGAGAGATGGGGGGCTTGATGAGTGCCAGAGAGTAGCCAAGAGGTTCTGTGTGGCTATCCATAGCCTGCAGCAGTGAGCGTCCTGCAGGGTCCTGATGCTGACACCGTCCCCCCTTTCTCCTCTAGCAGCACGAGTCCTTGGAGAAGCACAACCACGCCCTTCGGAAGGAGATCCAGGTCTTGCAGGCTGAGCTGGCACGTTGGGGCCGGACGCTGCATCTGCATGAGCGCCTGTGCCGAGTGGACTGTGGCTCCTCCCCTGCTCTGCTGCCCTCTGGATGCCCAGTCCAGGCTGAGCAACTCTCAGGACAACCTGCCTCCCATGGATACCGTGGTTGCCAGGAACAGTTGGGCCTGTTCCAGACTCCTGGCTCCTCTCCCCCAGCCCAGCAACTCTCCCCAGGTCCATGCTTACAGGAGGCTCCCGGCCTCCTCCCTTCCCCACTGCCCTCACTGACCTTTGACCCTCTCATGGCGAGGGCTCCTCTAGCCCAGCTATCCCCCAGCCATGTACTGTCTGCATCACCCCGTGGCTCCAGCCTGCTGGGGTCTTCCTCTAAGTTTGCCGCTCTCATGCCCAGCCCCCCAGACCAGCTGGTCCCGCCACAGCCCCTCAGGCTGGAACATCCCACCAGCAGGAGTCTGGCATCCTCCTCCAGCACTCCAACTGCTCCCGGACCAGAGTGTCCACAGAACATAGAACGCTTGCCCGCACTGTCTAGCTCCTTGGCAGATTGGCAGAAGATGTCTGTGGACCCAAGCCCACACCCCCTCATGGCCTTCCCGCTGCTCTCTTCCGCAAAAGTCCATTACTAGCCTGTATCTCGAGCTGGGCTGCCTTCCCTGGGCTCCTGAAACAGCCTCAGCACCCAGGCAGCTCCTCCACTTCTGCCTACCCGTGTGGACCAAGCAAAGCCATCCTCTCCCTCACCAGAGGCTCCAGGAAAAGACGATGAAAGGGCCAAATGCAAGAGCCTTGAACCTGGCTGCAATATTACCTGTTTTCCTTGGTGGCTCTCCCAGCCCTGCACAGTACCAGGTCCCGTGACCCTCAGGCTTCCCTAAAGTGGCTCCTTCATGACTCTTGGGACCTGGCCGTGACAGCTCGGAGCTTAGGTGGGAGCTCTGCAGGGTTATCATCTCTGAAGGGCCATCATTCACTCTCAGTACTCCAAAAGGCCTCAAGCTTGGAAGGTTTTTCACACATGGAACTGAGTGGGGAGGTGTATCGGAAGTGGACTCACTCCTGGGTCAGAACACGCATCTCGGTGCGTGTGTTGCTGAGAAAAAGTGCTTCTCAGGCCTCTGTTTTTCTGAGTTGTTGAAACTGGATACACTCTGTTGATTATATATTTTATATAAATATATATTATATAGAAACATATATGTGTGAGCTGGGTGTAGTGGTACACTCCTCTAATCCTAATACCTGGGAGACAGAGGCAGGTGGAAGTCTGTGAGTTTTAGGCCAGCCTGGTCTACATACTGAGTTCCAGGACAGCCAGGGCTGAGAGAACCTGTCTCAGGAAAGAAAGCAAAATTATGTGTATGAGTGTTTTGCCTGCATGTATGTTTGTGTACCACATGCACAGTTGGTGCCTGTGGAGGTCAGAAGAGGTCATCAGTTCCCCTGGGCCTAGAGTTACAAATGGTTGTGAGCCATCATCATGGGACGTTCAGCACTGAACCTGGATCCTCTGCAGGAACCGCTGGTTAACCAGAGACAGCTCTCTAGCCCACACACTAACTGTTGAAACCTCAGAGTCTTCACAAAAACAGAGTAGGTCTGATGGACAGCTCAGGGCATAGGCTTGCTTGCCACGCAAGCCTGGCAATCAGATAGGAGCCCAGAAACCCGAATGGTGGGAAGGAGAGTTGATTCTACAAAGCTGCCCTCCAGCAGCCACAGCACAGGTGTCCTCCGCCAATGCGAAGTTTTTTTTTGTTTGTTTTTGTTTTTTTTTTTTTTTTTTTTTTTTTTTTAAGGAGCTCTAGAATCTCAAGAGAGGCCTGGAGACGAGATGGATGACTGGGGGATGGCTCAGGGGTTAAGGCACAAGCCCAAGGACTCAATTCAAATCTCCAGACTCCCATAGTCAAACCAAGGCCAGGGGCATGTGCTGTAATCCTGTCACCCCAGCTGCGGGATGACGCAGAGACAGGAGAGCCCACGGCACTCCTTGTGATGCCAGCTAGCCGCGCACATGCGGTAGAGAACAAGAGAATCTGCCTCAAACAAGGTGTGCCTTGCACACGTGAACACACACACTTTGAAAGCAAAAACAAGACAGCAAAGTAGAGATGAGATGCAGTTGCTCAGGCATGTTAGTCCTCAGGGTTCTCACTGGGTGGTCCAGACTTGCCCAGGAATTCACTGTGTAGTCCAGGTTAGCCTTGAACGTGCATCTGTCTCTGTGCCTCAGCATCCCAAACGCTAAGATTACAGACATGTGCCATCATGGCTGCATCTTCCCTGAACTCTGATTGCAAGCCCTGAGCAGAAGGGCAGACATGCTTCTTGGAAGGGGCCCAGGGGGCAACCCTCGATCTTCTGCTCAAATATGAAAGGGCTGCACTTAGGTTGCTGCTCATTTGGTGACTGCTGAAGAGCTTCTAAGAAGAGAAAATATTTCGGAGGGCCAGCCAGATGGCAAAACAGCTTACTTGCCATTTAGCGCTGATGAGCTGTGCTTCACGTAAAAGTAGAAGAGAATTGACTCCACAAAATTGTCTTTAGGTCTCTACAGGTGTGCCATGGTGCACTCCACCCCACACATCATCCTGAGGGTCTAGGGTCTCTACAGGTGTGCCGCGGTGCACCCCACCCCACACATCATCCTGAGGGTCTCTACAGGTGTGCCGTGGTGCACCCCACCCCACACATCATCCCTGCACACAGTGAAGAACCATAGTGCTTTGTAGATCAAGTGAGAGGAGGCGATGTCAACATCTTTTTTTTTTTCCTTTGGTTTTTCGAGACAGGCGATGTCAACATCTTAAGCAAAAAAACTAGAATCTAGCACTTGAATTGTAGTTTGATCCTAGTTTGCTTAGAAACACAAACAGAATCACAGCAGTGGGAGGAAAGCTGGGGCTCTGAGCGTAGCAGGCACTGTGCAAACACTGCTCGCTGGCTAGCAGACAGCACAGGCCGTGCCAGTGATCGGTTGCTATGTGACAATGACTCCAAAACGTAGTAGCACCAAACAGTTCTTCCTTCCTTCTTTCCTTCCTTCATTCCTTCCCTCATTCCTCTCTTTCTTCTTCCTTTCTTTCTTTTAAAGATACAGTCTTGGGCTGGAGAGATGGCTCAGCGGTTAAGAGCATTGCCTGCTCAGAGGTCCTGAGTTCAATTCCCGGCAACCACATGGTGGCTCACAACCACCTGTAATGAGGTCTGGTGCCCTCTTCTGGCCTACAGGCATACATGTAGAAAGAATGTTGTATACATAATAAATAAATAAATATTTTTAAAAAAGTACAGTTTTATACTGTAGCTCACACAGGCCTTGAATTCAAGGTAATCTTTCTGTTTTCTGTTTCTGCCTTCCAAGTGCTGGGATTACAGCAATGCTTGCTTTTTTTTTTTTTTAGTTTTGGTTTTTTTTTTTTTTTTTTTTTTTTTTTTTTTTTTTTTTTTTTTTTTTTTTTTTTTCAAAATGGGGTTTCTCTGTGTATTCCTGGCTGTCCTAGAACTTGCTCTGTAGACCAGGCTGGTCTCAAACTCACCTACCTCTGCCTCCCAAGTGCTGGGATTAAAGGTATGTGCCGCCACCCCCCCACCCGACTTCCATGCTTGACTTTTTGAAAAAAAAAATATATATAGGGTTGGGAAAGCCGACACACACCTTTAGTTCCAGAACTTGGGGGAGGCAGAGTTAGATGGATCTCTGAGTTTGAAGTCAGATTGGTCTACATGGAGAACTCTAGGCCAGTCAAGGAATATATAACAAAACGTTGTATCAAAAATACAAAAAGGGGCCGGGCAGTGGTGGTGCATGCCTTTAATCCCAGCACTGAGAGGCAGAGGCAGGTGAATCTCTGTGAGTTCAAGGCCAGCCTGGTCTACAGAGCAAGTTCCATGACAGGCTCCAAAACTACACAGAGAAACCCTGTCTCCAAAAACCAAACCAAAACAAAAAAGAGCCCATTCTGTTCTTGAAAAGGACCCAAGTTTGGTTTCCAGCATGTCAGACAGCTCATAGCCACTTGTTAATTCCAGCCCAGTGGGATCCGATGCCCTCTTCTGAACTCCTTGGCCACCTTCCCTTATATGTGCATATTCCACAGACATATGCACATAATTAAAATAAACCTTTAAAAAATATTAAAGGGATGGGGACGTGGCTTAATGACAGAGCGCTTGCCTAGCATACATGAAGGTTTGGTTCATCCTTAATATTGCAAAAACTTAAGTAAACATTGGTCTGGGAAGATAGATTAGTTAGTAAAATGTTTGTTTTGCAAGCATGAGTGCCTAAGTTCAACCTGCAGAAATCACCTTAAACAAACAAAAAAAAATTGGTGCATTATAGAACATGCTTGTAATCTCAGTTCTGGAGACAGAGACTGGCAGATCCCTGGGGACTTGCTGTCAGCTAGCCTAGGCTATTTGGTGAATTTCAGACCAGCAAGAGATTCTGAAAAAGAAGGAGGAGGAGAAGAAAAGGGAGGAAGAGAAGGAGATGCATGGTACTTGAGGAATGATACCCAAGATTATCCGCTGGCTTCCACAAACATGAGCACACACATGTACACACATTTGTGCATGCCTGTATATACACACACATAAACATACACACAAAAATCTAGGAAGTGAACTGTCGATATAGTTTAGCGGTAGGGTGCCTGCTTAGCATGTGTGAACCCTTTGGTTCAGTCTCCTGCACCAATTCACAAAAAAATTCAGAAAGTAGAATTAGATAGTTAAGAATGACCAGGTCAGAGGCTGGAGAGATAGCTCAGAGGTTAAGAGCACTGCATGCTCTTCCAGAGGTCCTGGGTTCAATTCCCAGCAACCACATGGTGGCTCACAGCCATCTATAATGAGATCTGGTGCCCTATTCTGTCCTGTAGGCAGACATGGAAACTAACACTGTATACTAAATAAATAAATATTTAAAAAAAAACAAAAACAAAAACCCACAAATTGTTAAAAAACCAAAATGTAAAGGTACCATTACTGTAAACCAAGCTTATAGCCTTGCTTGGGATCCCCAGAACATGTCTAAAAAAAAAAAAGAAAAAAAGCCCAGCCAAGGTTATATACCTTGCAGGCCTTAACTCTTTGCTTTTTTTTTTTTAATAGAAAATATCTATAAGCAGAGGACTGGTGTCTTTATTTCTGCAGCTCTTACAGAAATGCTAATTGTATTAAAGTTTGTTTCTCAGCTGGTGAGAAGCTTCGTTCAGACTCTGGGATGGGGGGCTCCTTTCCTGCACCCCCATTTTCCTCATCCTTCCTATCCTGCTTCAGACAAAGAGAAGAAAATTTGTGTGCTCCCTTTATCTCCGGTCCAGGAGGAATCTACAGTTAAAAGCTGAGTGAGTGGTCACAGCTGACAGCCTCAGGGGGTCCCAGGAGGGTCCTCAACAACTCCACCATGCTCTCTCTCTCTCTCTCTCTCTCTCTCTCTCTCTCTCTCTCTCTCTCTCTCTCTCTCTTTCCTGTTTGTTTTTTCAAACAGGGTTGCTCTGTGTAGCTCTGGCTGTCCTGGAACTCGCTCTGTAGATTGGGCTGGCCTCTAACTCAAAGCTCTGCCTACCTTGGCCTCCTGAGTGCTGGGATTAAAGGTGTGTGCTACCATCACTGCCTGGCCTAAATGCTAATTCTTAAGAAAGACTAAAGCCAGGCTTGGTGGTTCGTGGCACTTGGGAGGCAGAGGCAGGGGGATTGCTGTAAATTCTAAGCTAGCCTGGTCTATATAGTGACAATCTGTCTGTTCCTCCCCTCCCCAGATCTAGGAGTGGCAGAATGTGGCTATAATTCTGTAATACAGGAGGTGAGGCAGAAGAGTCAGGAGTTTGAGACCAGGGTGGGCTATGTAAGATTCTGGGTTGTTTGTTTGTTTGCTTGTTTATTTAAAAGGCAATCAAACACATTCATGTAAACATCCACACAAAGAAAGAAAGAAGAAAGAGAAGGAAGGAAAAGACTGCTGTAGCAGGAGCCCAGTTGTATTTGGGAGGTGGAGGCCAGCAGCCTGGGCTACTGCACAAGGTCTTCTCTCAAAACAAACTCAGTGGCAGAATGCCTGCCTAGCATGTGCACCATGAACAAAAGGCATGCAAAAAGGAAGGAAGGGAAGGAAAAAAATAGAGTGAAGGGAGGACAGATGAGAAGCCAAGGTCAATGGCAAGGGGTTCTGATCCTACTTCATGTTCCGGCTTGGTGAGAGCCTAGCCAGTTTGGATGTTCGCCTTCCTAGACATGGACGGAGCGGGGAGGACCTTGGACTTTTCACAGGGCAGGGAACCATGACTGCTCTTTGGATTAGAGAGGGAGGGGGAGAGGAGTGGGGGGAGGGGGAGAAGAGTGGGGGGAAGGGAGGGAAATGGGAGGCTGGGAGGAGGCGGAAACTTTTTTTTCTTATTCTCAATAAAAAAAAGGAAAAAAATAATAAAATAGATTGCATAAAATATCAAAAAAAATAGAGTGAAGGGCTTGGGGGAGAGAAGCACGGGGCATCTTGCTGCCAGGTTGACGTCATTAACCATCAGAACCATGGACAGAGCCGAGGCTGCCCTTAAGGGACCCCTGATGGGGGGGCGGGGAGAGGAGGAGAGGTTTCAGGTCTCACAGAGGTGACTCACGTCAGGAAAGACTATTCGGACCTGCCTCTGGATGAGGGCTTGTCTATGCTTTTGGGGTAATCCTCGTCCAGCAGCCAGGAGAGGATTCCCAAGGACTGTGTCCGTGTAGTCTGTGTGCAGATTTTCATCCCTGGGAAAGGGGTCTGCAGCCCCTTGTCCTTTTAAACTTGTGAATGCTGAAGTCTCCCTAGGGAGACTCGCCCTGGGTCGCACAGATCTAGTGGCTGTCCCCAGTCAAATCTTTTCTTCCTGTCCATCACAGGCTTGTGTTTATCTGATATGGAAGAACCTGGCAGAGACACCCAAATTACTTAGAAGCTCAAGCATAGCCAGCCCCCTGGTCCTATGTGCCATGGGCACGTCTGAGCTGTTGCAAGGAGCAGTCTTCCAAAGAGCTTTCTCCTGGTATGGGGGGGTGAGCAGCGGTGTGTGTGTGTGTGTGTGTGTGTGTGTATTTTCCGGCCGTTGCTCATCTTTTTAGGAATTTCATCTTCTTCCTGGGATTTTTGCCTTCTGTTCTATGCAGCCACCACCTGCAGTAACCAGTTCCACTACTCAATACCCACAAAGGCAGCCAGGACCTGGAGAGGGCCTCAGATCAGCTGGAGGCCACCCCGTCCCTTCTCTAAGCCCTACATCTCACACCTGGGTGCCCAGCAGGATAGTCTGACACAGAGAGGGAGTGATGTGTGGCCTGACAAGATAGCAGTCTCTATCCTTGGAGATGCTCTGCCCCGTACCCAGGATGCCTTTCTGAGCCAGGCAGCTTTGTTCCCAGTGACCCTGCCAGGCTCCAGTCTGTCCTGCTGGCTTCCTTGAGCTGACGGCTGTTGCTGGGCAAGAAATGGACCCTGGGAACCCCGAAGGGAGATGGGGAGGGATTGGGTAAGGGTCTTAGGTGTGGTTGGAGGTGAAGCTATTGATTAAGTAGCCCCTCCCTCAGCTCTAGGAACCCAAGAGCTACATAGGCAGCAGGGGTTCTTAAAGGAAACATGCCCTGTCTTGACCCTTCCCCTTCCAAGAGGATCCCAAGTCTTCAGGGTGTTTCGCCCTTCCTCCCTTTCCACGGACAGGAGTCTCTGCGAGCAAAGAACCAACCAGGCTGGGGTCAGGCTTCAAAGAGACAGGCTAGCAGGGTGGTCTTGAATTCAGATTTCCCTGTATCGGCTTCTCTCTCTGGGGTTAGAGGTGCACCACCATGACCAGCCTTCTGGTTCTGTTTGTTGTTGTAGAGGCAGGGTCTCCTGTACCCAGGCTGTCCTCAAATTCCTGAGGATGACCTTGAACTTCTGCCCCTTCACTGCTGAGTGCCAGGATTACAGGGGAGCTTCAGCACAGGACAGATGCGCACTGCTGGAGCCTTGTACATGGCGGGCAAGCACTCTACCAGCTGAGCCACATCCCAGGCCTTGATGTCCTCTGTAGATGAAACAGTTCCTGTTCCCTAAACCAGTAGCTGCTTAATTGCTCTGAATACAAAAATGAGATTCGTGGAATAAATGATGGGGTTTCCCTGCAGATAATGGCAGATTAAACAGAGAAATGTAGAGTTTGGACAGCATGAGGCCAGGGGTCATCTCCCACAGAGGCAGGCCCGTCGTCACCAACCCAGCATGCCCTACATACACGTGGATGCTCAATTACCTAATGATTCGCAACCCGAAACCTGGGCAACAGGAAATGCCTCCGTAAATCCTTCCGTCCCCTGGGCGCTTTAAAATCGGAACCTGGAAGACCTGCCTTAGGGTGTGGCGAGTATTAAAAAAGAGTATACCGCAGTGCTCTGCACAACACAGGCACACAGTAGATGCCATTAAAGTGGCGTGGACCTGGCTGGACCGTGCCCAGCATGGAATAGGTGTGTGTGTGGGGGGGGGTAATTCATGAATAAACCTCAGAGTAAAACGTGCCTGGGCGTCTGGCCCATTATGGACTTGTGTGGTCCTGTAAAAACTAAGCAAGGCAGACCACGACCTAGCTCAGTAGAGGCACTCGCAGGCTAACCCTGATGGCCTGAGTTCACTTCCCAGAACCCACATGGTGGAAGGAAGAGAAATGCCTCACACACACACACCCCAAAAGAGAGCCCTTCACAGCACCCTGCAGCCACCTCAGAGACTATAAGTGCTCTGATCGATCATAAGGCTGCATGTAAGGCCCGGAGATTGTGTGTGCTTGCACAACTTTTAGATTTGGTGGAATCGCCTCAAACTTGCGCATGCGCATAAGATCTGGCGGGAAAGTCCTGAGGCTGCGCTTGCGCAGACGATTTGTCTCGAGGCCGAGTTCAGAGTTGGACTAGAGCATAGCCCGTAGTCTGAAGTCTTTGGGATCGGCGCTATCTCTGAGAAAAGGTTTCTGAGCGGGAACTCAAGCGTGGCCATTTTTCTGAGGTGTGCGAGTGACAAAGTGTGGCCGAACTGGGCGCTTCAAGCTGAGGTAACCGCCCCGCCCCGTTGTCGGGGCTCCCTGGAGCGCGGCTTTGAGGGAAGTTTCTAGGCCCCGGCCCCACTCCTCAGCCTTTGTAGCAATCCCTTCTCCGTGAGGTCACCTTCTCGGCCCGGCTTGAAGACTGTCCCGCGCGTGTCGTCGAGTGGGCTGTGCTACTGTCCGGTCTCCAAGTGGAGGCGAGGGGGGGGGGGGGGGGGGGGGGGGGGGGGGGGGGGGGGGGGGGGGGGGGGGGGGGGGGGGGGGGGGGAAGGGGAGGGAAACTGAGATAAAAAAAGGGGGAAATGGCGGCCTTGAGCACTGGCCTCCCGCCACCTCAGCCAGCCTCCAGGTCCCCTGACTCCAGAGGGTGGCCAGCTCAGAGGTGACGAGAACCTTTGTCTTCGGGGCTACTGAGGACTGTTCTACCCTGGCACTCCTAAGGCCGTGCCATGTGGCCCATGACACCTGTTCAGCTTTTCAGGGTCCCCAGCTTCCCCGCAAGCAACCCTTCTACACAAAAATTGCCAGATAATCAAAGTGTTCATCCTAGTTCATAACCACTCCCTAATTCAGGTTTATCAATTGCCATGAAAAAAAAATCCACAAGACTTCTTGTCACAACATATTTTTTGTTGTTGGTGTTGTTCTTTTCCTTATTCACATATTTTGGGGTTTTTTTATGCATTTGCGTTTTGGAGTCTCATGGAGAACAGGGTCTCCTATAGCTCTAATTGGCCTGATACTCATCATATAGCTAAGGATGACCTTGAACCTAATGATTCTCCTGCCTCTACCCCCTAAGTAGTAGGATGAGAAGTGTGGGCTACTGACTTATTCTCTGGGGCTGGAGAGATGGCTCAGCAATTAAGAGCACAGGCTGTTCTTCCAGAGGACCCAGGTTTGGTTCTGAGTACCCTTGTGGGAGGGTCACAGCTATCAGTAACTCCAGTTCCAGGGGATCTGATGTCCTCTTCTGGCCTCTGTGGGCACTAAGCTCAATGTGCTGCAGAGAAATACACAGAGGCAAAACACCCATACACACAAAGTAATAAAATGATAGCAAAAAGAATAATATTTAAAGAAAAAAACAAAGAGCTTCTTTTCCAAGACCCCTGTTTTCCCCAGGGAGGGCATGTCTATATCTTCAGTTAGGTGTTCAAGTAACTGGGCATTTCTCTTGGTTTGCTTTTTTTTTTTTTTTAACAATTATTTTTCTCTTTCCATTTTCATGTGCATGTGGTGTTCGTGTGTATTCACATGTGCAATAGGTGTGAGATTGATGTCGGAATTAGCCTCCATTACTCTTCACCTCATTAATTGAGGCGGAGTCTCAGGCAAACCCAGAGCTTGTCAATACAATTAGTCTTTCTAGTCGGCTTGCACCTGAGCGCCCCGGTCTCCGCCTTCTGAGGCTGGAATTACAAGCCGCTGGCATTTACGTGGGTTCTGGAGACTCTAACTCTGGTCCTCATACTTGCTTGGCAAACACTTTAACCCATGAGCCATCTCCTCAGCTCTCTTTCCTGTTTTGAGAACAGAGTCTGACTCTTGAGCCCAAGCAGCCATCAAACTTAATAGTTCTCCTTCATTCTCCTGAGTGTTTGGGCTGCAGGTGTGAAACATGACACATGACCATGGGGGTCAACCTGACTGCTCCATTTCCTTCACCTTGTCAGGTCACCAAACCATGAATGGGTATTTTTCAAGTCACTCTACATTTCAGATCTGTGTTGGGTTTTTTTTGTTTGTTTGTTTGTTTGTTTTGTTTTTTGTTTTTTTGAGACAGGGTTTCTCTGTATAGCCCTAGATGTCTTGAAACTCATTCTGTACACCAGGCTGGCCTCGAACTCAGAGATTCACCTGCCTCTGCCTCCCCAGTACTAGGATTAAAGGCGTGAACCACCGCCACCCAGCCTCAGCTATTTTTATCACAAAGATCATTAACTTCTGTCTGGAACTACAGATGTCTCCTTAATCTGATCCTTTTCATTTTCTATGTTCCTAGTTACTATGTTCTTAGTTACTGTTCTATTGCTGTGAAGAGACACCATGACCAAGGCAACTCTTAGAAAGGAAAGCATTTAATTGGGGATTTGCTTACATTTTCAGGGGGTTAGTCCATTTTCATGATGGGGAGCATGGTGGCAGACAGGCATGATGCTGGAGAAGTAGCAGAGAGCTACATCCTGATCCACAGGAAGCAGGCCAAGAAAGATACACTGGGCCTAGTGTGGGCTTTTTGAAATCTCAAAGCCCACCCACAACAACACAATTACTCCAAGGCCACACCTACTCCGGTAAGGCTGCATGTCCTAATTCTTAACCTTCTCAGTTTGCCAACTGCAGATCAAGCCTTCAAATATATGAGCCTATAGAGGCCATTCTCATTCAAACCACCACACCATACAAGTTTTTTTTTTTCCCAACATTACAACCAGTAAACTGTACAGAAGTAATTCCAGAACTTGCAAGGTAGAGGCAAGAGAATCAGGAGTTCAAGATCATCCTTAGGTTCAGTTAAAGGCCAGCCAGGGCTACTAGAGAGTCTGTGTCAAAACAACAAAGCAAAGCAAAGATCAACCATCATGTGTGTGTGTGTGTGTGTTATACGTGTTAATATGAGGGTGTGCACAGATGTGCAGGCACATGTGTGTGCAGAGACCAGAGATCTCACCCCTCCTGACAGCTTCAAGTGCCACTGAAACACTGATGCCTGCCGTTACGTTTCCATCTTTGCACAGGAGGACACTACCTCCTCAGCACAACCACAGAACCCTTCTCCAGAGTCCTCAGGAAGGAGGAAGCACCATTGCTTACCCAGTTTCCAGAAGCCATCCCTGATTCCCATTTCCAGCCCTTCCGAGAAGGTAAAGCCTTTCTCCAGTCCAGTTATTCACTGCGGACTGCAGAGCTTTCTGCTGGAGTGGCAGCAGCATTCTGACTGGCTGCTCGGCTTCTGCGCTTGTGTTTCGTCCTTTTCATCTTAGCAGCCAGATACCAAAATCCCTAAAGCAGGGCCAGTGAGATGGTTCGGTGGGTAAAGTGCCTTCTGCCAACCCTGATAGCTAAGTTTCATCTACGGGTTCCACTTGGCAGAGCTGACCTCTGACCTCAGTGTGTTTGCTGTGGCACATGTACACCCACAAACAAAATTTTAAAAACACAAACACTGTGAGATTAAAAGTGTGTGTGACTATACATGGTTGCTTGCCTAGTCTTAACTTTGTTCAAATCAGATGACCTCATGGCAGACCCATTGTTTTTGTGTTTGTGCGTGTAGTAGAAATAGAACCTGGGTTTTTATGCATGCTAAGCAAGTCCTCTACAACTGAGCCTTTGTTTCCATACACTTACAATTTGAGACCACATTTCACTAAATTGCCTAGGTTGACCTTGAACTCAGTCTATATCCCCCCCATCAGGTCTTGAACTTGGAACCTGTGTCAGCCTCTAGAGTAGCCGAGATTATAGGCCTATATTTCCTATAAGCCTTTTCAAGTCTATCTTCATAAACTTTGTGAGTACAATTATTATATCTCAGATCTCACCAAAATATTTCAGATTCCCTGAGTGAAATTTTCTTTCCTTATATAAAAAGTTTTTCTTTCATTGTCTTTTCTTTGTTAAGACAGAGTTTTGCTGTGTAGCCCAGCTGACTTTGAATTTGCAACAGGCCTTCTACTTCAGCTTCCTCAGTGCTAGAATTGCAGTTGGGAGGCACCACACCCAGCTTCAGTTTTCATATTAATTTAATTTCCTCAGAGTCTACCATTGTTTCATGCCAAGAACAAAGATGTATATTTTAGGAGCTTTCTTTCACACTTCCTTGTTCCTGTCTTCCGCCTCTAAGACCCTTGAGTTAATATATCTCAGAGACAACAGGGCCTATAGCCCAGCATTGTAACAGAAGCTTTCTCTTGCAATCTTGCCCTCTGGAAACAACAGACTCTGCCTCATGTTCTTTTCTAATGTTCTAATTTGTAGCTTTAAGCAGTGGGCCCAGTTGGTATAATCAAAAATAAAGCGTCTCCTATTACCTGTAGTTTCTGTCCGAATGATTTTAGGCTCCTGGGACAGGTAGAATCTTGAGTGCTGCAGAGAATCAGTGCAATAGAGTGCTAACTCAGGTTGTTCATCATGTCACAGGCCACCAGTGGTGGGTGGCAGAAGCCAGCAGAAACAAATGCTCCACACGTACATACATCAGAAGAGTCACATCAGTAGCTTGGTTCAGTTAGGAGAGGCCAAGCACCTTGGAAGGGAGCTCATCTGCGACCCTTACAGGTTTCATAACTAGGGGTGTAAAATGAGGACATGACTGGTCGAGGGGAAGGCATTTGTTGTGGCTATAAGGGAGAGTACAGCCACAGGCATCCGGAAGAGGCCAGAGCAGGGAGAGAAAGTAGACTAGATGTGACCAGTAGACTGAACCAGGCTATGAGAGGAGAGAGGAGGGTGGGGAGAGCAAGAGGGTCAAAAGGACCAAGAGAGGGCATGGCCGAAGTGGAAGGGTTATAAGGGAAAGAGAAACCCATGAGCTGGAGACTATTAGGGCAGGGTGAGGAACTGAGAGGAGCCAGGATGCCAGCATGCGCTTTGGTGTACGAATAGGCACCACAGTTAGCCATTTGTTCCGGCTCTTTGGGGCCTGACATTGGGCAGGGCAGAGAGATGAGAAAATAGTGTTTTCCAGAATAGGAACACAGTCCTGGATCTGTTGAGCAGAGGCAGTCTCTATTAGCGCTCAGTACGGCTAAGGGAGATGTGGAAGATGCACTCAGGTGCAATGAGGAATTTAAGAGTTTAACTTTGACTCCTGGCTTGTAGGGTTGTCCACCAAAGTCTTTTAATTTCATTTTCAGGGTATCTTTGCGACTGTGAAGGTTCCCCTTTTCTACTAAATAAAACCAAATGTGGCACAGCTCTAAAGGCAAAACTTTTACCACACAGGCCAATTTTAAAGGCTGTGTTTACTAGAAAGAGTGGGAATAAACAGGTGAAAGAACAGAATAATCTCAATAACGTGGAAATTTCCAGAAATCTGGACTAGGTCATAGTCTTTTCCTGTTCTATATCTGAACACATTTTTTTCTTGAAACAGGGTCTTGCTATGTAGACCAGACTGACCTGGAACTCAGAGATCCACCTGTCTCTGCCTCTGGAGAGTTGGGATTAAAGGAGTGCACCACCACCACACAATTTAACACTTCTTATTTTTGTTTTGTTTTGTCTAGACAGGTTTTTCTGTGTAGCCCTAGCTGTCCTGGAACTCAGTTTGGAGACCAGGTTGGCCTCAAACTCAGAATTCTGCCTGCCTTTGCCCCCTTAGTGCTGAGATTAAAAAGATTTCTCTACTGACTGTCCGGTGCTACAGACTAGAGACTACAGGGAGCATTTCTGTGTGCTTCCTTTCATCAGGCAGCATGATCAGCCTACAAGTGGAAAAGCCAATGTTTCCTTTGAAATTGGATTTTTGTTTTGTTGAGATAAGGTTTCTCTATGTAGCCCTGGCTGTCCTGGAACTCACTATGTATATAAGCCTGGACTCAAACTTCTAGAGATCATCTTGCGTCTGTTGAGATTAAAGATATACACCACTCTCCATGCTCAGCTCGTGAAAGTGCCTCTTGAAGAGAAATATGATTTAACGCTTCATATCCCAAATTATAATTTTAATAAGCACTAATAAGAAAAGTTTATATTTTGGCTTGATGATTTGAACCAGAATGAGTTTGCCTAGAGTTACCTGACTCAAGAAAATGCCCAGGGATATAATTTAATGAAATGACTGAAAGATGTAGGCTATAGTGAAAATTTCGTGAACCAAAGGAATCTTACTCTTGGCAGTCATGCCTCAGCCTGTTTCCATACAGAACTATGTGACCATGAAAGACATTTCTCCTTTGGTGAAGTTGCTTCCCTCCAATGCCCTCTGAAATTACATACTTTGAACTGTAAGTGTCCTGTGTGCAGATCTCTAGTTCAGCGGTTCTCTACCTTCCTCATGCCACGACTCTTTAATACAGTTCTCTTGTCATGGTGACCTCTGTAGCACGATTCATAAAAACCCAGAGACAGAAATTGGGGTTTAACCTGAATGTCAGAAAAGCAAAACAGCCATTGGCTCTTACCCCTACCTCAGTCCGAAACAGCGATACTGCCTCTAGGAATCTCAGAATGAGACTTGTCTGAGAGCTGTCTCCTCCCTTCTTAAATTCCTCTCTAAGGCTGGGATTAAAGGCATGCACTAACTACTCCTGCCCAGTTTTTATGTCAAACTAATGTGGCTACTGAAATTAAAGGTGTATGTCATCACTGCCTGGTGTGTAAGGCTGATCAGTGTGACTGTTTTACTCTCTTAACTTCAGGCAAGCTTTATTTATTAAAAATACAAATGAAAAGCCAGGCAGTGGTGGCACATGCCTTTAATCCCAGTACTCAGGAGGCAGAGGCAGGCAGATCTCTGTGAGTTTGAGGCCAGCCTGGTCTACAAGAGCTAGTTCCAGGACAGCTAGGACTGTTACACAGGGAAACCCTGTCTTGAAAAACCAAAAAAAAAAAAAAAAAATCACTACAGACTCCCAACCATAAAATCATTTTCATTGCTACTGTATAATTTTGATAATGTGAATATTTGATTATCTGATATGCGACCGCTGTGAAAGGGTTGTTCTGTTCCCAGAGGGGTTGTGACCCGCAGTTGAGAACCACTGCTCTAGTTGAAAATACAGGCTTTCAGAGATTCTGGATCTCCTACCAAGGACTTTGTAAGGAGGAGGAAGTGGTCATAAACCCTTGATCTCAGTTCTGAAAGCTGGATTTGTACATTAGTACATTCTGCTACATTGTCGTCCACATTCATTCGTGGTCGCAGCAGCCTGCCACGTTAGCTTGCTGTGTAGATATGTGCTGAATAAATGTAGGCCTTCTTTATTCTCTCGTGTAGGCATTTTTCCTCCAGATGTGTGTAGTGACTGCACATCCTTACTGTTGTCTTCCAGGTGACTCCTTCCTGTCCTCATTTGCCTTCAGTCCTACATCAGAGTCTGTGCAGTGACCCAGATGTTTGTGTTAAACAAATTACTCAAACTTTGAAAAATCTTTCTTAGATGTCATTTAAATCTAATATTTGGGAAGCTCATGTCAGATGGTGTGTCTGTGTTAAATCTAAGCAGGGTTGTTTTGTTTTTGCTTCCTTTTTTTGTGGTTTTTCAAAACAAGGTTTCTCTGTGTAACAGCCCTAACTGTCCTGGAACTCACTCTATAGATCAGGCTGGCCTCAAACTCACAGTGATCCACCTGCCTCTGCCTCCCGAGTGCTGGGATTAAAGACGTGCGCCACCACTGTCACCCAGACCCAGTTTTGCTCTCTTAAATTTGCTTTTTTTGTAAAGCATTAAGAGAAAACCTCTTCAATAGTGAGGGTCTGGATGGGGACAGTGGAGAATAGTGTTTGCTCTGCAGTCATGGGGTGTGAGTTTGAATCTTTACCCACATAAAAAGCCAGGCAGGCTGCACTTGCCTGTAACCCCAGCATTGAAGGTTTGGGACAGGAGGATGCCAGGAGCTCACTGGTTAGTGAGAAACCTGGTCTGGAGGCAGAAGGCAGAGATTCATGTCCAGCTCTGGCTTCCACATTGCACAGATAGAAACATCCACTCACACACTCATGTATACTATACACACATACACAAAAAAATCCATCATTAATAGCTGATGCTTGTATAAAATCTTGGGGTTTATGAGGTGGTTATTTATAATAGTATTTCACTTAATCCTGCAATTCTAGGAGTAAGTAGGATCATCGCTGTATCTGTGGTAGAAACTAAGAAATGAAGAGGCTGAGTTACAGTTCTCAGGGCCTAATGGTTTCTATGAAGCAGAAGTCTGCTAAAGCACTTGGGAGGCCAAGGCAGGAGGATTTTGAACTCCAGGCCAAAATGGGCTACATAGTGAGACCCTATTTGGGAAAGAAAAAAACAACTCAAGCTATGGTTTCCTGGTCTCATCTCTTATGTCTTCTGCACAATGCCTTGCTTCCTGTAATTTTTCTTTGCTTTCTTCCATCATGACTTGTAGTCACCTACAAATGGGCTGAGAGTCTAACCTTTACTCTGTGAGGGTCTGTCAACTTAGTAATAGTTATTGTCACCTAGTGTCACCATGACTGCAGTAGTCAGAGGTGGAAAACAGCCCTGTGAAACCTTGAGCCGCTACTGCCGCTTGGTTATTTAGGACGATGCGTGGTTGTTTAGGACAATGCGTGGTTGTTTAGGACAATGCTATCTAATCTTCATTTTCAGATGAGGTAATTAGTGTGGTGTTTGTATCTGAAGCAGGCAGCCAGCAACTAATAGGAACAGGCCTCAGCGAGAAGGGAGTTGTTTTTCTTTTCTCAGCCAGCTGTGGTGCAGCACAAGAAGTTTCCTCTTTGGATAGTCATTTTTAGCAAACGTCCTTTCTTTTGCTCAGGTGCCCCCATGTCTTAGGTTGTGGGGAAGTTGCTGCATCTACAACTCTGAATAACTGAGTTCCTAGGCAGCAGCCTAAGCCTCACCAGGTGGGCTCCCTACCTACTTAGAAAAATCACCTGGAACCCAGACTGATCAGCTTTACCAGGGATTCCTGCCATGCCTTATCCAAGGGTCGCTCACGGCTTTTCCCCTCATGCATAGCTTATCCCTTGGATAACTCTGCACATAGCAACCATTGCTTTTCAGTTTTGACTGAAATTCTGTCTAAATAGTCCCTGTTCCAACCACCTCTCATTCTGTTCCCAAATAGCCAGGATCAGACACTGGAATATCTCCTTACTGACAGCTCAGACTTGAACTTTGGAAATTTCAGAAAATTCCGTTTCTTTTGGCATATAGCTTTTATAATTCTGCCATATAAGATTTTCTGCTGCTGAATAGAAATGGTATAAGATGATATAGAGGAAAAAATAATGAAAATAATACAGAATGTGGTGGTACATACCTGTAATTCCAGCACTCTGGGATACTGAGGCAGGAGGATTACTGTAAATGAGAGGCAAGTCTGGGCCAATTAGCCAGATTAATGATGAACTCAAGGCTTTTCTGTGATGCATATAGAAATCCTGTTTCAAATAACCAAAAGAGGGGCTGGAGAGATGGCTCAGTGGTTAAGAGCACTGTCTGCTCTTCCAGAGGTCTTGAGTTCAATTCCCAGCAACCACATGGTGGCTCCAAACCATCTGTAAAGAAATTTGGCGCCCTCCTCTGGCTTGTGGGTATAAATGGAGGCATAATAAATAAATCTTAAAAAAAAAGAATAACCAAAAGAGAAAATAAGAAAATTCTTTTTATGACTATCTATATGTTATTTTACTACTTACAAAATGATTTTATGCTTATTATCTTGATAAGTTGGGCTAACAGAGTGGTTGATGAACATACACTCCTTCAATAGTGTTTCAGTTTCCTAGTATGTTAGGTTTATACTACTTGTTGCATAGGCTTGTGGCAAGTGAGATAAATACATATTAAGCATTTAGAATAGAGTGTAGCAAAAGTAATTGTTAGTTGGTCATGTGACATACCCTGTAGCCCCAACTATTCAGAAGGCTGAAGCAGGAAGATCCCTTGAGCTCAGTAGATCTAGGCTGCTAGTATGTGGTTTTGTGTGTCATTTTGACACAAACTATAGAGTCATATAGGAAGGAGCCTCAGCTGAGGAAATGCCTCCTTGAGATCCAACTGTAAGGCATTTTCTCATTTAGTGATCAATGGGGGAGGGCCCAGCCCATGGTGGGTGGTGTCATTCCTGGGCTGCTAGTCCTGGATTCTATAATAAGGAAGGCTGAGCAAGCCATGGGAAGCAAGGCAGTAATCAAACCCCTCCGTGGCCTGTACACCAGCTCCTGCCTCCAGGATCCTGCCCTAACTCCCTTTAGTGATGAACAGCAATGCTAAGTATAAGCCTAATTAACCCTTTCCTCCCCAACTTGTGTTTTTGGTCATGGTGTTTTGTCACAGCAATAGAAACCCTGACTAAGACAGGGCCAGACCAGGTAACATACCAAGACCCATCTTCAAAACAAATACAACAACAACAAAAACTCTTATTGTCCCAGCCCTTGGGAGTTAGAGGGCTGAGATCAGTTCGAGGTCATCCTTAGATGGTCTCAGGGTGGACACCTAGGGTATCGAAGGCCATCCTGAACTACAAAGGACTCAATGTTCAAAAAGCAAAAACTACAGTTGTTACTCTGTAAGAAAATTAAGGCTCAAGCTTGAGGCTGGAGGATTACCATGAGTCTGAAGGTAGCGTAGGCTACATTGTTCCAAGCCAGCCTGGGTTACAAAGTAAGAACTTGTCTGAAAATTTTCCTATTAAAGAGGGAAAGGAAAGATGGAGAGAAGAGAGAGACCAACATTCAGAAACCAAGTAGGGACATTAAGGCTGAGATTAAAAATTCTCTTTTTTGCCTATTCTGTTTATTACATCTCAGTTGTTTCTTCTAAAATCAATGTCTAGAAGTTGTATATAGGAAACCTTGATCCTTGGAAACTGTGGGCCTACTTATCATTTAGAGTTCTACATATTAAGGCCAAGGGACTGAAGTATTTATTATCTCTACTATAAAATGAAGGGAGGCACAGAAAAACCCTAGTAATTTAGAGAATCATAGTGTCCTTGATTTTATCCCTGAGCTCATGCCAAATGTGAGCTGTCTTGGTTTTCTTTCTCTTAGTGCAGTAAGTCTCCATGACCACAAGCAAGTTGGAGATGAAGGGATCTATTTGGCTAAGGAGTTACAGTCCATCATCGGGGAAAGCCAAGGCAGGAACTGAAGCAAAGACCATTGCTCCCCCTGGCTTGGTCAGCCTACTTTCCCATACAACCCAGGGCCACCTGAGGAGGGGCAGTACTTCCCACAGTGGGCTGGGTCCTCCCACAGCAGTCACTAATCAAGACAATGCCCCACAGACTTGCCCACAGGTCAATCTGAAGGAAGCATTTCTTTAGTTGAGGTTCCCTCTTCCTGATGATTCTAGGTCATGTCAAGTTAACAAAGCAATCAAAACACACACACAGAACAAAAACATAACTAACCAGCACAGTAATAAAATTCAAATTTGAATGTTGTCTTTTTGCCTTTATATAGATGTAGGACCAGCACACCATGTATCTTCACTGTATAGGGAGGAGATATTCAGTAGCCATGCTGAATGAGCCTGGTTCATGGGCACTGGTACTATGTTGAACACTTACCCTTCAAGAGATGCTGCAGATTGACAGGCTTCCTTTCCTATATTTAAGGAGACATCTTCAGCTTTTTCTGATTAATATTTCTGCTTTGTTTTAGGCTACCATCAAGACACAATGAGTTTAAAACCGTTCACCTACCCTTTTCCAGAGACAAGGTTCCTTCATGCAGGACCCAATGTGTATAAGTTCAAAATCAGATATGGTGACAGTATCAGGTAATTTGAAAGGTGGGAGATAGCTCATGCTAGCACAGGCAAGTGAATTCCTCCAGGTCCTCATCTTTGCCTAACTCACTCCAGGGGAGTGACCACAATAGCACCTGGTCAGGCCTTCCCAGATGCTTAGTCTTTGTTATATTCACTATCAATAGAATTTCCTAAAGTAGGGTCAATGTGGCTTTGAGGAGATATTTCTCAGAATATTTTTCAGCTTGACCCTGTCTCAAAACATTAAAGAAAGAGAGAGAGAGAATTTTAAATAGGTCTGGAGAAATTACTTGTCAGTTAATGTAGTTGCAGGCTGTTCTTTTGTTTCCTGGCCACCTAGACCCGAAATAATCACACAGAAACTGTGTTATTACTGCTTGGCTTATTAGCTCACGCTTCTAGCTCTTATATCTTAAATTAACCCATTTCTATTAATCTGTGTGTCGCCACATGTTTTAGGCCTACAGGTAAGGTTCCGTCTGGCATCTGGCATCAGGCGTCTGTCTCTTGTCCAGTTACATGGCTTCTCTCTGACTCCGCCTACTCTCTCTCCTCCTCTCTGCTTGGAATTCCCGCCTTGCCCTATTCTGCACTGCAATAGGCCCAAAGAAGATTCTTTATTAACCAGTGGTATTCACAGCATACAGAGGGGAATCCCACATTAAGTTAAGAGCACTGACTTCTCTTCCAGATTCAGGTTCTGTTCAGTGAACCTATGTGGTGATTTCTCTACAACTTTAGTTCCAGTGGATCTGATGGCCTTCTGGCCTAGCCTCCACATGTACCACATGCATGTGGTACACAGACACAAGCAGAACGCCCATATACATAAAATAGGGCCTGAGAGATGATGTGGCAGTTAAGAGTATGTATTACTCTCCCGAAGGATCAGAATAAGATTTCCAGAACCCAGCCGGGCAGTGGTGGTGCAAACCTTTAATCTCAGCACTTGGGAAGCAGAGGCAGGTGGATCTCTGAGTTCTGAGTTTAAAGCCAGTCTGGTCTACAAAGAGAGTTCTAGGACAGTTAGAGCCGTTAAATAGAGGAACCCTGTCTTGGGGGAAAAAGATAATTTTTTTCAAAATTTTCTCTCAAAAGCCCAAAACTTAATATTGATAACAAATACTGCCAATTGTTTTCCTTGATTTGACATACTTGCTTTATTTATTTTTGAGAAAATGTATGTTAACCTCACAGAGCTGAATAGCAGACAAATTGTTTATCAGCTACAAGTAAAATATTATTGCATGAGCTGGGCGGTGGTGGCGCACGCCTTTAATCCCAGCACTTGGGAGGCAGAGGCAGGCGGATCTCTGTGAGTTTGAGACCAGCCTGGTCTACAAGAGCTAGTTCCAGGACAGGCTCCAAAACCACAGAGAAACCCTGTCTCGAAAAACCAAAATATATATATATATAATTGCATGGAATGAGCAACTCATTCAGTTTGCTACTTAAAGCGGCACACAAGTACATTTCCTCAGGGCGTGTTTTGTTGTTGAGGTTTGGTTTGGTTTGATTTTTTTTTTTTTTCGGGACAGGGTTTTTCTGTGTAGCTTTTTAGGCTGTCCTGGAATTCACTCTATAGACCAGGTTGGCCCCAAATTCACAGAGATCTGCCTGCCTTTGCCTCCCGGGTGTTGGGATTAAAGGTGTGCACCTGCACCGACACTGCCTGACTAGTGCTTTTTGTTTTGCTGTGTACTGAATTGGTGTTCTCTAGAGGAACAGAGCTTAGGGAATGAAACTGGGCGCACGTGTGTGCGTGTGCGCACACATACACACATACAGACAGACACATTTATATATATGAACGAAGAGGATTTGTTAGAATGGCTTACAGGATGTGGTCCAGCTAGCCCAACAATGGCTGTCTACCAATGGAATGCCAGTAAAGGAATGAACTTGACAGCAAAAACGAGAGTAAGCAGACAAAGAGAACAAGCTTCCTTCTTCCATGTCCTTTATATAGACTGACAGTGGAAGGTGTGGCCCAAATGAAAGTATATCTTCCCACCTCTAAAGATCTGGATTAAAAGTGGGTCTTCCTACTTGAAATGATTTAATTAAGAAAAATTCCTCACAGATGTACCTACCCACTTGGACTTTGATTAATTTCAGATGTAGTCAAGCTAACAACCAATAATAGCCATCACACATACTTTAAAATAGTAATGAGACTAGAGAAATGGTTCAGTGGGTAAGAGCATTGGCTGCTCTTCCATGAGACCAGGGTTCAATTACCAGCAGCCACAATCAACTAATTCAAACCTAAGGAAACCTAATGCCCTCTTCCCATATGTGGTCACTTCTCACATGTGATGCATGTGAGAAAAATTTAAGTTAAAGAAATTTAAGAGACAATCATGAAGCCTAATGCAATGGTATAGTTCTTAAATCCCAGCACTGGGGAAGCAGAAACAGTCAGATCTCTGTGAGTTTGAGGCCAGCCTGGTCTACAGAGTGAGTTCATGGATAGCCAGAGCCACAATGAGACCCTGTCTTAGGGAAAGACAAAGAAATATCTCCTGAAATCTCATAAAATTTTATATTTCTATTTATCAGTTAAAACTATTTTGTTTTTGAGACAGGGTTTTTTGCAGCTCAGGCCAGCTTCATTTACTGTGTAGCTGAGTCTAGTCTTGAATTCCTGATCCATTTACCTACACCTCTCAGGTACTGGGATTACAGACATTTGCCACAGTGCTTGGCAGTTCGAATACATTTAAATAGTGGGCTTAACGTGTAGCTCAGTGGTAGGATATCTGCACTGGATGTACTACAAAGCCAGGTTCAGTGCTCTGAGCCCCTCCAATTTAGTCGACTTTTAAAAATATGCTCTAAAATATTATTAACCATCACAACAGCAATATAAGGTCTTGGAAATTTAACAGGGAAGACTCGGGGGAGAGGTAACTAATGCTCAAACCACACCCCAATGTAAGGCAAGCAATGGGTCAACCAGACTTTAATGTATCTGGTGTCTTTAGCACCAGAAAACAGATGCTGGACAGGGGTTGCTGTCTTATGGTACCTGTCTGTTTACCTTCTAGAGAAGAAGAAATAGAGGACAAGGAAGTCGTCATCCAGGAGCTGGAGGTAGGAAAAAAATCAGACAGCTTCTGAAGAAAGTATTTACTTCTCAAGCCAAGGATGAATCCATATCTAGGCTTCTATTATGCCCTCATACTGAGTCTCAAACTCCACCTGGTAAACTGGTGTCTCCATGCAAAGAAGCCACTTTTTACAGGAAATTTTAAAGCCATATCTTTTTTCAATTCTCACTAAAGTATGAGCGCCTTTGAGACTGGTTATTGTTTGTTTCTACGAGGTTCCCAGACAGGGCAGCTCTGTTGTGGCAGTTGGCACAGAGGAGCTTCCGGAGGACTGCTGCCTTCCAGGGCTCTGGGAATGCCACGATCCCAACCACCGCCTGGTGTTTGACGTTCAGGAAACTGGGCAGTAAATACACTGACAAGTGGCTGTGTCTTCATTTAAATTGGAAACATTTGCCATTGCTTTGTTCCAAGTTCATGTTCATTCCTTTTCTGCACAGCTCTGCTTGTTAGAGATTTCCAGAAAGAAGACTGAGCAGGGATACAGCTTTGTAAACTAAACTGGTGAAAGTATTGGGCCTGGTTGTAGTTCTGGGGCCCGGTCCTGTATCCCAGTCTGTCCCTTCACCTGTCAAATAAAGTTAACTTGTTTCCAAGATTACGGTATGAATTTCAAATACGTGTGTTCAGTGCCTGCCACATATCCAGGCTAGAAAACATTTGCATACATTTATGTGCATATCAAGGGTCAAAAGCTGCTTTTTTGTTTTTGTTATACTTTATATACATGGTCTCCCTATATATTACTGCCTGGCCTAGAATGTGTGTAGACCAAACTGGCTTTGAACTTTCAGAGATCCTTCTTCCTTTTCATCCTAAGTACTGGGATTGCATGAGCCTCTACTGTTGGTCCTTTGCGTGAATTTGTGGGTGAGTAAGCGTGTGTTTCATTTTTTCAGCAAGGTCTCATAAATCCCAGGCTGGCCTATGTATCTGAGAATGTCCTTGAACTTCTGATCCTCCTGCCTGGGATTATGGTGTACATCACTAAACCTGGTTTATACAGTGCTAGAGATTGAATTTAGAACTTCATGCATAAACCGGAGGGACGGTGGTGGCGCATGCCTTTAATCCCAGCACTTGGGAGGCAGAGGCAGGCAGATCTCTGTGAGTTCGAGACCAGCCTGGTCTACAAGAGCTAGTTCCAGGACAGGCTCCAAAACCACAGAGAAACCCTGTCTCGAAAAAACCAAAAACCAAAAAAAAAAAAAAGAACTTCATGCATATTAAATAATGACTCTACCACCTAAGTTGCATCCCCAACTCTATTTTCAATTTTTGTTTATTATTATTTTATGAATATGGATACTTTGCCTGCATGTATATCTGTGTACCATGTGTGTATGTCATGTGTCCAAAAGGGCCAAAAGAGGGCATTGGATCCCTTGGAACTAGAATTACAGATGGTTGTAAGCCACCATATGGTTGTGAGCCACCACATGGGTGCTGAGAACTGAAACTGGGTCCTGAGGAAGAATAGCGAATGCTCTTACCACTGAGTCATCTGTCTAGCCCCATCTCTCTAAACAACTTTTGTTTGTTTCTTTGTTTTGATACCACAATCAATCTCTTAACATTTTTAATTAAAAA